TTTTTTTTTTTTTTTTTTTTTTTTTACTCCGTTTGTGGAGGTTAAATATGACCCACGATTGAAATATACTAGATTAAACAAAAGAAACAACTTTACAAAAGAAAAACCTTGAACATTTATTTTTTCAATTCTCTTTGTTGGTGTGAATAAAATATATATCTGATTAGTATTCGTGAGATTCCACGTCGATTGTTGAGGATAACTAATGATTACAAAGGCACTGACCATTTTGTGAATAATTTGATAAATTCACAGTTAGGGAATCCTGAAACTTCGGATAGCGATGACTGGAGAGGAATGGTGGATTATGCATGGAGCCACGCAGTAATATCCGATGAAACTCACAAAATAATAAGAGAAAGCTGTGATTTTAACAGCAACGATACTTGGAGCAACAACAATTGCAGTGAAGCAGTGGACGAGTTGCTTACCCAATACAAAGAAATCGACATTTACAGCCTTTATACCTCTCTTTGCACTGCCAATCTCGCATCTACCGATGGCAATTCCATGCAAACCCTAACCATCAAACGCTCCGCTACCATGGTACTTTTCCACCCACCGTCTTTTACATGTTCAAAATAGATAATATCATATAATAACACGTATTTAGATGCCAAGAATGATGGGTGGATATGATCCGTGCTTGGACGATTATGCAAAAACATTTTACAATAGACCAGATGTTCAAGAAGCCCTCCATGTGAGTGATGGGCAGCAGCTGAAGAATTGGAGCATTTGCAAGTACGTAATAATAATGGAATAACGTTATAATTAATTAATTAATTAATTAATTGTGATTGGATTATAAACACAAACACAGCACAACCATATTCGAAAACTGGTATGATTCAAAGCCTTCGATTATTCCCATATACGAGAAGCTGATTGGAGCTGGGCTTAGAGTATGGATCTACAGGTAATTTAATTAGAACATAATTAAAGAAAAGATTTGATGTGATTCCGTGTCTGAAATTGGTTTGAATTTTGGGACAGTGGCGATACTGATGGAAGAGTGCCAGTGTTGTCGACTCGATACAGTCTTAGCTCGCTCGGTCTGCCGATTACCAAGGCGTGGAGGCCTTGGTACCACGAGAAGCAGGTCAGTGGTTGGTACCAGGAATATGCTGGGCTAACGTTTGCCACATTCAGAGGCGCTGGACATGCAGTGCCATGCTTCAAACCAAGCAGCTCATTGGCCTTCTTTGCTTCGTTTCTGAATGGACAATCCCCACCTTCTGCAAAATGATTAAGCTTAATTAACTAATGTCACTGTATTATATTATACAATAATTAATGCTTCTAATCAATGCTTAATCCATAATAATTAATTTGTGTTACTATCCCATCCCTAAACATTAGTCAATATGAGCCACCAAGTGGTTAATTCCAACCATCTCGGCTGAGTAATTATTTAATTACTTTAAAGGGTAAATGGTAAAAAGTGGGACCATGGGAAGATAAGAAACCTAAGGACAGATAATTTAGAAGACACGTGGAGGTTAAATAATAATAAATACGACAAATAGAGTAAAGTACTTTATAAATAGCCAATATGAAATCGATACATAAGGGAAGCCAATTTGGATTTATATCACACCCTCCTTTTTTGACATTTGTTACCCAATCATACTGTTTAATATTTCAAATTCGTCCCAATCCGATGAACCTGTACAATGATATGATATTTATATACTTTGAGTATAATCTCTCGTACAATTGAGATAGTATTTCTTATTTATAATGTGAAATCCCACTTCGATCGAAAAGTGAAACGAAACATTCTTTATGAGGGTGTAGAAATCTCTCTCTAGCAAACACGTTTTTAAAACTTTGAAAGTAAGCTCGAAAAAAAATCTAAAGAGAACAATAGCGGCTAGCAATAGGCTTGAATTGTTACAAATGGTTTTCAGAGCTAGACACTGAACGGTGTGTCAATGAAAACATTGAGTCTCAAAAGAAGGTGGAGACTGGGTGGTGTACGAGTGAGACGCTCGAAATGATTTATTTTCCTATCTTAGAATTAATCCTCCTATTTAAAAAATAACAATTTAATCCATTTTTTTGTTTTGTACTTATATTTCCACCGTAATTCAAATAAATGATTTTTGATGACGCAAGCAACCAAAAAAAGTGGCTGGATAGAGATAACAATGACATCAACGTCCAACATTGTGTGTTTTTCAGCTGATAAAATACAAATAATCCCTTTAATGCTTCATTAATTAATTTAATTTCACTAATTATAACATATAATACTCTCACAAAGTCTATAATATTAATACTACATCAACTTATATTCCCTGCACTAATTGAGTATTTATTTATTTTATTTTCCTACATTTTATCCACTAAATTACTAATTTAAAATTTTCATATAATTATTTATTTATTTATTTTACAATAATACCTGAAATTAATTAAGAGTTCCAGTTGATGTTAGAAGGAAGTTGAAACTGTTGCCTCAAAACGCCGTCGCTCAAGGAGCCAATAAATGGCTCCCTAGTTTGAAACGCTGCGTTTTGTACTGACAGCTGGTTGAGAAGAGACACGTAAGAGACCGTATTTTCTTCGGTTACGGGAGTCACCCCACCACTGTAGCTATTCATGAGATCAAGCCGGAGTGGCTTTCCGCCGTCGTTGGATGCAGTTGCGCCGCCGCTCCAAAGCTGACATGTAAGGCCACGTTTGGAGCTGCAGCTTGAAGAAGGTAACTCCGAGATATTCGAATTGGTTTGATGATTAATTATCTCGTCACCTTCGCTTGATAACGCCACCACATCCAAGTAGCAGTTTCTGCCACCCTTTTGTCCACCTCCAACCACCAGCTTCGGTAGCCTCGCCGCCGCCGCGGCTGCCGCCCTCGATAACTCCTCCATTTCGCGCTCTATGATGGTCGATGCTTGTGCAGCGTTTTTCATGTAAATTCGGCACAAAACCCAATCATCAAGCTACATGAAAAAAAAAAAAAAAAAAAAAAAAAATTGATGTGAATTAAATTAATGTTTAAAAAACATTTAAAGGAATTACCTTGAGAGAGGGCTTCCGATTGGTGGGGTAGGCATCGAGGGGCTTGAGATTGGTATTAGCAGCATGGAGGAGCCTATACTCGTGCATGATCCAATTGGTTTTGATACCTTTAGGAGGCCTTCCACCGTAAAACACGAGAGCTTTCTTAACGCCAACTTTTTGAGTTCCATTAGATGTCATAATAGGCTTGTCAGTTCCAGTCGCTTTCCAATACCCAGAAATCGCCGCTCTATTTGGCCTCGCCCCGTTTGGGTATTTCCTCTCTCTCGGAGTAAAAAAATACCATTCGTTCTTCCCAAACACCGCCTTACCTATAAAAAAAAAAACCCCATTTAATTTTTACATAAAACATTCCATTTAATTAAAACACTAAAAAACCTAATAAAGCTGATTACTTGGGAGGTCCCATGGATCGAACTTGTACAAATCGAGTTCGGCGATGATGGGGGCTGGAAGAGGAGAAGAGGAAAGCTTCCTTTTGAGATAATGAACCACTAGTTCCTCGTCGGTGGGGTGAAAGCGGAACCCCGGCGGCAGCTGCAGATGAGCCGATGTGTTTGATGATGAATCTGTGCTCTCCATGTAATCTGGATCCATCATCTCTGAATCTCAATTTCAACAAAGAAAAGGAAGGGATGGGTGGGAGATTGAGATGGCGAATAAATGAATTTTATGGGAGCTTTAATTTATTTGTTTTGGGTGTCATGCTTCCCTTGTGAAACTATGCCAATGTGAAACCAAAAACAAATTTCTCAAATCAAGGCATATGGCATGCTTCCCACACATTCTTACGCCATCTCTCGTAATTTAATTACTCCAATCCAATATAAACATAGCTCAACTCAACTGATTACATTAACTAGTATACGTCTAAATCAATTGAATTATCCTTTCGTAATGTTTTGAGTTGGGATTACGAGCGCCAAACCTAATTGTTTTTATTGAATTAGGTAAACACAAAACAAATGAAATAGGGTTGGGAGGCTCGTGAATTGAGTCTGTTCTCTTTCTCTTCACTTAGTTTGTACTTATTTTCATCATTCATTTGTGTTTCATTTATGACATTTCATTTCATGTTGTCAATATTGTTTTCATTCATTCTCATATACCCATAAAAAAAAAATGCTCCTTTTTGGTAACTTTTTTATATTCTTTTGTTGAATGGTCTGGTAAAAAGTATAGTAATATTATTTTGATTAAATTATGTAAAGGTATAAAAATATGCGAGAATAAATATCAGAATTGTAAGAACGTAGAGAAAATTGGTTATACAAAATTATGTATATTCTTTTTTTGTTTGTTATTGTTGTACCTAAGTTTGATGTATAGATATTTAATTCTCGATTAATTAATACTAAAATAATTGAAAAGAATCTCTTTAACTTCATAATTAAATTCTAAAATCAAACATGCTTTAAATATCTTTTTCTCTCGTCTTCCTTTCTTGTTTCCCCAAACCTATTATAAGTTTCATGGGCCATCAGCTGTTTGGAGCCCACACTTTCGAGGCTTCGGCCCAATCCATTGCGCACGTGTTGGATTCAAATGAACTGCTAAATTGGGTTAGATTTTTTTTTTTTTTTTTAATGAGAATATTCACTTTTTTTATGTCTTTTTTATTTTAAAAAAATTAATATTAAATAAATGGATAAGAATTGAAATAAAACAATTAAAAAACAAAAGGTAAAAAGACAAGAAGAAAAAGAAAAGGTTATGATTTGTTACGGTTGTGGAGGGACAAAAAGGTCAAACGACGAACACTTCTTTAGCTTCCACTTGGGCGGTGGAAAGTTGGCCTAAAAGGGAACTGAAATTACAATACAGCTGAACGTGGGAACCACAAATTTAAAATGAACTATATAACTAATTTAACGTAAAATTAACTCAACGAAATATTTTAATTTCTACATAATTACAGTTAATACATATAATAAGGTTTTATTTCTATTCCTTTTCCATCATTCACATATTTTACCCTCAAATTTTTTATTATTATTGTTATATTTTGTGGAATTTAGGTTCATTCAGACTTGAAATTTCTTAATTTATATTCGGGATTTACGTCATTTTTATTTAAAATTATGATATTTAAGAATATAGAAGAAAAAAATTGGAAAGGTAATTGAATAATTATATAATTATATAAAATGAAAATGAAAACAATATTTTGTGAGATTTNATTTAAGAAATTTGAAAAAAAAAAAAAAAAAAAAAAAAAAAAAAAAAAAAAAAAAAGAGGTCAGATAAATATATTTTACGTTATTATTTGACACCAGAACAAAAGTTTTGGATTTAATTTGGAAGAGAATTTGAGTATTTGAGATGGAAAAGAAATTTGAATTTTAATATTGATGGACCTTGAAGTTTGACTTCTAGTATATTACCTCACTTTTGACTACCTCCCAACTCTTCTCTAATTTTGACTAATTCCTTATATCATTATAACGGTTTTTATACCCTAAATACTCACCTATACCAACTCAATAATAATAATAATAATAATAATAAATCACAACAAAGTATATATATCATCTCCTCATTTTAAAATAAAAAATATATATTAACCCTAATGTTAAATATTAATTTATGTATCAATTCATTAAAACATTGTATTATTTATTTTAAAAACTACCTTAAAGAATGGTTAGATATAAAAATGATATTTTATAAAATAATAATTATAGATTCTTTTAATATAATTACTTTTAAAAAATGCATATTTAACCTTCATTCAGAATAAATAAAAGTTTAGATTATATATTGTTATTATTATTATTTTAAAGTTTAAGTGATTTTCATTAATAACTTTTAAAATCTTGAATTTCTATTTGTCTGAGTTCACACACCCATGAATATTAAAAACTTTGAATATTTAAAATATCAAAAAGAGATAAATATCAATTTGAAAGAAAATATAGGCATCGTGACATCCAGGGCCTAATAAAAACAAAATTCAGGTTCTTCATTCAAAATATATGAATAATATTTTAGATTTTTTATTTTATTTTTTTTGCTAGTTTANACACCCAAAAAAAAAAAAAAAAAAAAAAAAAAAAAAAAAAAAAAAAAAAAAAAAAAAAAATCTTTTGTAGTTATTAATATTATTTTAATATTCTTTACCCATACGCACATATTTATCATCATTTTATTTTTAATTAATTTTTAGTTTCCCATATGCGCACACATATATATGTGACCCTTCATACAAAATAAAAAAAATAAAAAAATATGTGTGTAACAAATGCACTTATGAAAACTTTACTTTATTATATTTTTTAAAATATTGAAAAATATACATGTATATATATATGTGTGTATCAAAGGCACCTATGAAAACTAATTTTCTTATATATTTTTATTTATATAAATAATTCTATAATAGTTCATTATATAGAATTTAAATTGATATATAATAAATCAACTATTTTTTTATAAAACTATTAATGTAACCCGCCTATTAATATATCTTAAGGCTAAAATCAACGTGGGATCTTTTAATCCACCACATTAGAGGTAAGCGAGCCTCAATCCCACCGCTAATAGATATTATCTATTTTGACTTGTTACATATCACTGTCAATTTCACAATTCTAAAACGAGTCTATTAAGAATAGGTTTTCACACCCTTATAAAAAAATGTTTCGTTCTCCTCACCCATAGATGTGAGAGTATAAATGTGTAATTAAATAAGTGCAAATGTTAAAGTTTGGAGTATTAAAAATTATCAAACATTTCCACCAAGAAAATTATCAAAGAATTTGAACAATTTTTTATTAAATGATAGTACGAACAATACAATTGAATCTCTGAAGTTGTGTTAATCAAAACCCCTATTCCACAAAGAATTAAAAAAGAAGAACAAAATTGAGTGTATATTGAAATTAATCAAATTTGAGTATGCATGCATTTACATGGCTTAATTTCCCGGCATCTCTACGGCTTCTCCGGCGACCAGATTATCAATGACGGCGGTTGAAGCTTTTCTGAGCAGCTCCGACCAATCCCTAACAAGATAATCACACAACATGAGTGCTTTTGGGTACAAATTACGCGACGATTTTATGGAGAAATAATTACCCGTTACTGGAGTCGAAAGTGAGTCCAACGGTGTATTTGGCTTCTCCAAGTGCCCAATTGAACCTCTCCATCTCTTTTTCGGGACAGTTTCGGTTCAATTCGACATGAAGTTCAGACGGCCGAACGTCGACGAATATCGGTATGATCTTCTTTTTGTTCTCCACCATTAGAGCAAGTTCATGCAAACAAAAATAAGACCGACAATAACGCGGCGAAAACACCGCAATTCCCACCTTACAACTCCTAATACTTTCCTCAATCTCCCCAAAAAGCTTGTCTCCTGGTTTCATGTTGGCGCTGTCTAAGAATGGGCGGAGCCCTATTCTAGCAAAATGGTCATAGAGCAAGCCAGCGATGCTCCCTCGGGTGTCGACGCCACGGTAATTTATGAAAACATCGCACCGCTGCGACATCGATCGGATGTGGTTGCAACGAGTGAGGATTGTGGAGGGGATTAGGTGGTTTCTGGGGAGAGCTGAAAAATAACGTTGCATGGCTTGGTTGAGGGGTTTGGTTTGTTGGTGTAACGAATGAAGTTAGGAATGAAGAATTGTGGTGTTTATTTATATATATGGAGATAGAAAATGACGTCGTCGGAATAAGGACCAAAAGGTGTTAGGGTTTGAATTCAAAAACCATAAGAGGTTGGAAGAAAGAATTAAGAGATGGGTTTCGCAGTTATATTTTTGACTCTTTAAAACAATTACATCTCAATATTCATCAAAGCCCTTCAAACACGTCCAATAAAAGAGAAGATAGGAACCGAAAAAGACACACCTCTTGACAAAGTCTATGCATATGTGTATTGGTTTCTTGCGCTCCATTTTGCATACTTCTTGTTTCTTGGGTTTTTCGTGGGTTCTAGACCTCGAATTCTTTGTTCGACAGGAATATTGTTGAACACTATTCAGAGGAGTAGTCCCACATAGACTGAATTTATAAATAAATAACACTGTCTCCATAGAGTTTATACTCAAACAACTGTGGAGATATAACTTAACCATCTACATTAAATGACATGTCTAACAAGAATGATCTAGGTATAATTCTCATTAAATGTTATTTATATGAAATTTGTCGAAAGCAACTTTATATATTTTTTATTTAAAATTAATTTTAATTAAAAAATATAATTTAATTTATTAAAATGAAAACAATCTTCTTTATGAAGTCATAAAATGTTATTTATATGAAACAATTTTTTAATATAAAGTAGGTTCTTTAAATAAACTAATAGGCTAAAAGTTGGAAATTAAGATGGATAGGAGGAGAGTAGCCACGTGGCGAAGACATGATGGTTTGACCGAGAAAAGTCAGCAAGGAAGTGGGGCCTCTTTATTAACCGTACATTTTGGTGACGAAAACTTCAGCAGACTTTCCTTCTTCTCTAAGGCTACCTTCTTTATGAAGTCATCGCTAAAATTCCATCGTATAATATTACATTACATTATAGTTTATATTATTATACTAACTGGAACAAAATTTAATTAAACTATACTGTGTTACATTATACATATAATATAAACTTCGTCAATGTCCGTATGTAAATTAAAGAAACAAACGAAAGTTACATGTATAAGTTTATAACTTGCTCATGATTAAGATTGACTCGCATATTGAGTTTTATACAAATTTATTGTATATGATACTCCATTCATACGTCTTTAGATTGCAACAGATACGAGAAACAAACCCGAATGGAGATTTACTAGAACCGGATAGGGGA